TATTCTATCTACTTAAGGGGGACTTTACCCTAAACCCTAAACCTTAAACCCTTAAACCCCTAAACTAAGCCCCTTAACCCTAAACCACTAAAAACCCTAAAAGCCCTAAAGCCCCCAAACCCTATATAATATACCCAAAGCCATATAATATCTGCTTACGGGGGACTTTGCCCTAAACCCTAAACCTCCAACCCCTTATCCCTAAAAACAATAATAAAAAAAAAAACTCTAAACACGCTAAACCCCTAAACCCTAAACCCTAAGCCCTATATGATATACCCAAAGCCATATTATATCTACCTAAGGCTGACTATAACCTAAACCCTGAACCCCTAAACCCTAAACCCCTAAACCCTAAAAACCCTAAACCCCTAAACCCTATATGATATACCCAATCCAATCAAGGGGGACTGTAAACCCTGAACCCTGAACAAGTCATCAACGCACGTCCTGAAGCTGCAGGCTCTCCGCAGCGATGTCTTTGCAAAGCCTCAGATTTTAAGGGAACCCTGGGTTTAGGGTAAAATCCCCTTAGGTAGATATAATATGGCTTCGGGTATGTTATATAGCCTCCTTTTCGCCTGATGTATACTGGGGAACAGGTTTAGGGCACCTACGGGAAGGGCAACCAGGGGAAGTCATGAACGTCCTGAGCGATCTGAGCGAGGGCGTAGCATTACTGCCAAGACAGTGCACGGATGGAGTACCTGACTGCAAGAGACTGGGCTCCCCCTCTGGACCCCCACCTCGAAGCACAGAGGGTTCCTAAGTTCCCTTGTCTGGGGGCTGCAGTCACTGGTAGTGCTCCTGCCTAAGGACAAGAAACAGAGGCTTAGCGTTTCTGGCTAACTTCGCATACCCTTGGCTGAAGGCCGGCGCAATGCACACCCTCAACCAAACTTTCTTGGACTCGTACCAAACCACAATAGGAAAGCCATATCGCCTGGCCAGAGCCATGAGTGTGACTCCGTCGGCCCAGGCTCTGGGATCAGCGATTTCCTCGCAATTCTGAGCACAGCATTGGCTGTGCCTGTGCTTGGGTGACGCAAGTCGCCGAAAGGGGTCTACCCTACTAAGGACACATGTAAGGAAGGGCTTTCTTGGATGCGATTTCCTCCAGCATCTTCGTGGTGCTGGGGTGCTCGATGTGGAACAAGGGCATCGTGCACTACAACTTCATATATGTTATATAGGGTTTAGGGTTTTTAGTGTATTGAATGTTTTGTTTTTCTTTTTTTTCTGATGTTTTTTTGTTTAAAGATTTTCTGGGTTAAAGGGGCTACGCGGGGATATGTAGGGGTTTAGGTTTTATATATATATATATTTATTTATTTAGAGAGAGATTTGTGTGTATATATTAATCAGAGAGAGATATGTGTATATATATATATATAATTAGAAGATGTATAAGATGTGTGAATACATATACATATATGTATATATACAGTCCATTTACCACAAGATTGAATACGTGCCTGGGATGTTGATGCTAGTCATGGTGGGACATGAGTATTGAGTACTTGGAGCCGCAAGGTAAACTTTCATCTCACTATCAACACCCCAAATTCCGGACCCTAAGCTGTAGAAGATATAACCTCTCATGAGTAGTGTTTTTTGGTGGTTGAACCTAGTAAGATTATATTCCTTTTATATTACTATACCCCAAAAGGAGGATATAATCTTACTCTATAATCGGTACCATAATATCTCCAAATAAAATACTACTCACATGAGGTTTCAGTGCAAGATGAAAGTCCTTATACCCTAAACCCTACACCCTAAACTCCTAACCCTAAACCCTACTTACAGAGCCTAGGATCTCTAGGGTCTCTGACGGGGTACATCCCTTTTTGTAGCAACCCTAGGGCGACCGACCCCTTAATGGTTTAGGGTTTAGGGTTATGGGTTTTGGGCACCCGAAGGCCGAAAATCCCAGACAAGTCTTTGGAGCCTTGAAGAGATCCACTTTTGGAGACACTATAGGGTTTAGGGCTTATAGGGTTCAGGGTTTAGGTTTAGGGCTTAGGTTTTAGTGGTTTAGGGTTCAGAGGCTCGGGGTGAGATCTTCGCGGTCTGCACCCTGAACCTTAAACTTCAAATCCAAAACTCTAAACTCTCAGCTCTAAACCACAAACCCCGAACCCTAAGACTCTAAGCACTTCGCGCCCGGAAATGGCCGTCCGACTTGGGAAGGAACTGCACGACTTCAACAAAGGGTTTAGTGAGGGTTCAGGATTGAGGGTTCAGGCTTTAGGGTTCAGGGTTTAGGTTTCTGTTTTTTTTGGGGGGGAACCTTTTCTCCTCAGGATAGGATTATAGAACTTTTGGAATTTGTCAGATCTTTCAAGAGGCCCTTGGGGGGATCTGGAAAATGTCCTTGTAACGGGGATGATCGAACTGTTGGAAACTTGACAAATCTCAGAAGTGTGTCCCGTTGACAGTAATCCCCTCGCTCCCAACATTAAATACTCCCAGTGTGGTATGCTACAATATATGAGGCATATTCAATATGGTGGGGGGGGGGGGCGTTAAGATGAGGGGCGGGGATTAACTTCTGATGAGTGATGCCAGCGCTACCAGTAGCAACTTTAACTGTGGCATTCTTCACTTGACCACTCAAAACTCCCAAGGTAGTGGGCATTTGAGAAGCCAGTAAGTACAACAGGGATTCTTTGGGGATTATATAGGGCCTATAGAAGGTTCAGGAGCAGTCCGTGCAGTTTGCTTGCATCACCGACTTGTTGCATGCAAGGCAGCGGCCTGCTGAATGAGGTCCTGAATGCTTGACAGTGCCTGGCGCCAGCATCACAAGCATTCAATCAACAATCGATCTTGCTATATTGTATTACTATATTGCTACTATATTATTACTATATTGTTACTATATTATTACTATATTATTACTATTTTGTTACTATATTATTGCTATATTGCTACTACATTATTACTATATTGCCACTATATTATTACTATATTGTTACTACATTATTACTATATTGCTACTATTGCTACTATATTAAAATCGTGTGATAAGCAAAGCTCCTCACCCAGGCACAAGTCCAAGTGTTAGGTGGGGGCCTCCGGAAGAGCAGCAGAGTGGACCTGTGGCCTCGCAAACCACACGCTTTAGGGTTTAGGGTTTAGGGTTTGGGGTTTAGGGTTTAGGGTTTAGGGTTTGGGGTTTAGGGTTTGTTGCTCCATCTCACTCTGGCAGCAAGTTGAGGGCACTGCTGCCGCGTAGGCAGATGTGCTGAAGCCGTCTTGCCTGCATATGGCGCAGGCCGAAGCATGGGACCGCCGATCCAGCCAGATTTGCTATACACTTCTATATTATCATTATTATTATTATGCTACTAATGTTACTATTATTACTATACTACTATATGGGAATTTCCTAAAATAGGGGGACCCCAATATGTACCCGAAAATATTATAGTCCTTATTATGGAGACCCCAAAAGGGTACCCCTAATTTTGGGAAACCCCCATATTACTAAGTCACCATATTAATATGTCAGTATATTTGGATGGTACCTATGACGGCCGGCTCGGAGGAGACATGACTGCCTGCACAGATGCTTGCTCAAACTGGGTGGATGTCAGAATTAGGGTTTAGGGTTTAGGATTTAGGGTTTAGGATGTAGGGTTTAGGATTTAGGGTTTAGGATTTAGGGTTTAGGGTCAAAATTATGGTCCCTTTTTGGGTCCCTATTATAATACGGCACCTAATATTTAGGGTACCCAAAAAGGAACCATAATTTTGACAACCACCCAACTATTGCGCTCCTGAACCCTTTCAAGCAGTGGGCCTGCGCTAGGTAGCGGCGCGGTGAAAGCTAGCCGGCGCGCTGTTTCAAAGCCTTTGCACGGCATGGAAGTCTTGATGACCAGGGATCTGGGTCAGGACCAAGGCTCTTACATACAGCTGCAGCCAGGAGCACAGCCCCACGCCGCCTGCCCAGGAAACCAATCCTGACAGAAAATGAACATGGTAGAGCAGCATGCAACAAGCATCACTCATTGCACAGATGGTGTGGCGCCTCCGAGACAAAGCCATCAGCTCCACGCAGCTGTACCAGTCGTCCGGGCAGCTACGGTGTTACAGTTGCAAGAAAGTCAGGAAACCTTTGTAGAACAGTTTGAGATGTAATTGAGATGTTTGTGCCCGCTTAATGCGATCTGAGCTAGCCCGCCGGCTGCAGCATATACATCTTCGGCAACATGGAAAGCAGCTGACACCAAGATTAGAGATGCAACTTTCCCGGGACCTCTTGGGTATCGGGCTCAACTTCCTTTGTCCTCAGCTGGGTAAGGATTTCCCAAAATTAGGGGTACCTTCTTGGAGGTCCCTGTAATGAGGATTTTGGGGTCTATATTTGGGTCCCCCTGTTTAGGGAAACTACCTGGTGAGGCCATGATCCAGTCAGAGAATATGCCATCCTGAGGTGTGAGCCGTTGCTGGTGCTTGCTGACAACCGCCCTTGGCCGAAGCATTTCCCCAAAAATGACCCCATTATACAATGGGGGAATATGTATATGTATATACATATATGTATATGCATAAATATGAGTGTGTATATATATGTATATATACATATATATGAATACATATAAATATACTTATGGGAACCACAAGTTCTGTGATGTAGCCTGTTGAGCAACTTTGCTCACGCCAAGGGCGACACGACAGCGTAGGCGGCTCCTGAGCAGTGCTGCGTGAGAACACGTCCACGGTCGTTGCCGCAGTTGGAAGCTTTTGTGACTGGGATAGCTTCTTAACAAACAGTCCTCTCCCATGGCGCCATAGAAGTCTCTGAGTATCAAGAGCAGTGCCTGCTTGAGCAACGGAAGAAACTGTTAGCTCATTCGCTTGTCAGGTGCCATAGTACTTAACAGCATGCGGAAATGCTGATGCAGATATGACGAAAGCGTATTGCTTTTTTTTGCACGCTGTGCAAGCGCTCTCCTTAAGCGATGGCCCAGCACACGTCTGGGTCAGTCTCAGTGAGACAGGCCACCAGCAGTGGAGGCCAGCTTCAGCTTGAGCGCAGCGATCGCCTCGGGCGGACTGAAGAACATGGAAACTACTACAGTATACCAGGGTTATATAGGGATAATGGAAAATAAAGGGGCGAACCTCGTGATCTGCCTCAAGAGCTGCTTGTGCTCGTGCAAGCTCTCTCTCCTGGTCGAACAGCTGTTCAATCGTCTATTGAGCTGCTCAAGCTGATGTTGGGAGAGCAGCTGCAAGCATCTGACAAGTACATGACCAGCAGCCTGCATATCACGCGCTTCAGAGGCGCGAAGATCCAGGTCCTGCAAAGCAACTGGCAGGCGAGAGCCTTGAACATGCAGGTGCAGCAAGAGCCCTTCTTGCCGTCAGTTAGTTAACTAAGGATGAAAACCCTCGCATGGTAGATTTGAGCACCCAGCCTTCTGCCTCTCATCCAGGGCACACTCCGCGGCTTGTCTGGCGTTTTGTATGAGAATCGCCAGATCCTCGCATCGGCGCCTAGTTGCCTCAGAGCTGGGAATGCAGTGCAAGACCTTCAGATGTCGGTCTCCAACTCTGGTATGAGCCATAGTTTAAACTCCTAGTATCACCCTTAATAACCCCTATAATAGTTCCCTATATATTCCCCTATATAGCCCCATCTTAAGGAGTTTAGACTACGGCTGATATCTCTGATGAGGGCCCCTTAATAGAATTCTGGAATCTATCTTGTCCATTTGACGGGGCCTCCAGCATTGCGCTCATCTCGGATTTCCTTCGATAGTGTTGACGCTGTCGCTCTGCCGTCCAGCTGATTTGGCTGAAGTCCCAATCTCTGTCTTGCAGATAATACGAGCCAGCAAGATCAGCGAAAGGCAGACAACACGGCGCGACGGAAACGACGCCAAGGTCAGGCGGGATCTTGGGCGCAGTTCTGGGATCCTTTTTTACCTCTCCTGCATCCGGCTCAGCCCAGTCTTGAGCCATCAAAGCCAGAGCTGGGTTTCCATAAATCAGAAAGCTGAGTGGTAAGGCTGCCAGCACATCGAGACTGTAGTGTAACTTGCTTCCAATTGCAAGCGTGACATCTGCAAGCACAATTGCGCACAAGATCAAACCAAACAATCCCATCACCGCTGAACGTCTCTCATGTCTGAACTCGTCCACACTTCGCGCAACAGTTTCATAAGCGCATAGGCAAACAATGGTGAGCGAGCTGGTAGAGCAGCAGAACATCGTATCAGAACAGAGTTGCTGCGGCGCCGCGCGACCAAGTAGCCACAGGCTTTGAACTGTCAATAGCGAGATATCCATCAAAGAGTCAAAAAGACCAAGCGTCTGTGTGTTCTGGCGCCTGAAATACATCAATCCATCTGCACCAAGAGATTGCTTGCATCCTTGCCAGCCAGCTGCATTAGGGAGCACAGTCGACCAAGCAAGGAAGCCTTTCAGAATGGCCAGCACAGACGCAGAAAGGGCAAGGTGTGTCCAAGTCTGAAGATCATTTCTCCGGACAAGCCACCACAGCAGGACAATTATCACACAGTCGGCCATCAAATCCACCCAAATCTCGGGAGACCAGCTGAGACCTTCCAAGGAGCTGGCAAGCTTGGAGGCCTTCAGAAGCCTGTGGACCGGGTCTTCGAGAGCTTCTGACTCGATGGCTGCAAATGCGCCCTCATGTCCTGCCGCAGTGGCGACGGCCTCGTCAGTCCAGCGAATGTACTCGCATGTCGCGGAGTACAGACCGGCATTCTGAAAAAACAGAGCCGAAAGAAGAAGGCTCACTGGGGCAAGCCAGCGCTGAAGGCCATGTGTGTTCGTTCTACTTGCACCTTCTGCAAGCGCGACGTAACGCTCTGGACCATGGCGACCAACGTTGGGAATCTCCATTTTTGAAAACTCAGATGATGGCCCTGCAGTCTGGATGTTGAGTGGAAAATGCGGGTGAGGATACTAGCTTAGACAGCACAGCCTGGTTTGTGCACGAAGCTTTGTCGTAGAGGCTTGCTCTCATGCTTTTGGTGCTGCTTCCCGCATGAGGCTAAGACGCTGTGGACCAATTTGTGGAGAAGAAGCCTGGCTGACACCAAACAGGCCCACCAGCTGGGCTGGGCGTCCTCAAATGGAAAGAACATGGAAAATGAGATGGACACTGGGTTGACGTAGAGGTTTACAAGGATCGGTGTTTCCAGAAATTAGGGGTCCTTTTTCGGGAGTCCACAAAGTGAGGATTTCAGTATTTCGGGGCATGTGTTGGGGTTCGCCTGTTCTTGTAAAGGACCATAACGCTCCATATGAGGGAACCCAATTTTGCATCTCTGTGTTGGACTGGGTTGGCCCCCAAAACCCTTTGAAAAAGTATTAGTATATATGGGGTCCCTTATTACAGCCATTAGGGAAAATATTAAATATCCCAGGGGCCTACCCAGTGGGGACATCCTGAAGCATGGCATAGAGGCCTCTTTCTGCGTCTTGAAATCCTCGGCCTCGCGACGGAGAACCTGTTCCTGAACAGGAAACATATGTTGGGTACTGCCCCCACCCAGTAACAGTCTATATTAGGGGTCCTATTAAGGGCTATATATAACCATATTGAAATTATTATCAAACTGTTACTGAGGGGGGGCAGTACCCAAACCATATGAGCTGCAGTTTAAACTCCTAGTATCCCCCCCTTCATAACCCCTGTAGTAGTTCCCCTATGTAATCCCCTTATGTATACCCCCTTTAAGGAGTTTCCGATTACGGCTCATATAACAAAGTGGGGTTTAGGGGGCTGTTGTTTAGGTCTTTCGGGGTTTGAATGGGTGGGGGGTACAATCGAAGAACCTAAATGTCATTGAGACCGACCGGATTGGACCACATCTTAGGGTTGCATGGACGGGTCCCCAGACATAAACATCTCTAAGCTCACTAGGGTTAGTAGGGAATAAGGGAAGAAAATCCCGATAGAACGCTTATACTACAGATACAATCTTCCCTTCCAGCCCTAAACCCTAAGCCCTACATAATCCCTGATTCCCTACCAAACTTCAGTAAGTAAGGCTTCGGAGGCATTCGGAGGTGATCCGTTTCGAAGGCATTGTAGTCCCCAATCACGCATGGTAGTTTCCATACTTCGGGGACCCCAATCTAGACCCCGAAGGACCATCATCCTCATTATGGGGAACCCCCATCCTAATTTGTCTAACCCCCCCGACCTTGTCAAACCAAAACGGCATTTTGCTATCCCGTTGTGATCAATGTGTATCGTGTAAGGTCCCCAGGACCCTAAGATGCTCCCAAATTCCGAAACCGCTGCAGAATCCTGGAAAGCGTTTCTGAAAATGATCGCTACATCATCCCTGGGCGCCCAGAGCCCCCCTACAATACCTGTTGTCTATAATTGGGCTCATATTATGTTCCCAGGGTCCCTAGCACCATCTTCTTTGAGAAGCCCCCTAGTAAGGGAACTGGCAGTGCGCAGAGGAGCACACCTCGTCGCTCTGGGCATCTTGCTGTCCTCAATGGCAATAAGGCAGTTTCCCCCAACTAGGAGAACTTACTTTGAAAATTTAGGGGGACTTAGTAAGTAGTTTAATAACCCCTTTAACCCATATAGTAACCCTAATTATCCCCATTATTAGCCTACTTACTAAGTCCGCCTGACCCTCCAAATATGTTAATACCGGACGAAAATATTCTCAACTTGTGCGTCCTTCGTTACTACCCATGTATCTTGGGTCACAGAGATGGCTTGCTGTCTTCGGAAACTTGGAGTGTCTTCCTTCACGCATGGTGATTTGCAATCACAAAGGGGCCAAAGAAGGCCTTTCGCAAGCCTGGGTATGTTCGAAGCGGGGAGCTTTTTTGAGACAAGCCCCAATTCCCTCCCCCTAATGTTAAACCCCCCCCCACGCCCCTAATAACAAATACTCCCATTATGTGGTATATTATACTAAGTATATGGGCAGTATTTGATATAAAGGGGGTGGGGGGGGGGGTTCATATTAGGGGGAGGAGATTGTTTATATAACCCTTATGTAACCCCCTATAATCCCTACAGTTTCCATTTTTTCCATTATCCAAATACAACCCCATATCACCCCAATATAAACTCCTATTCTTTTGGAATTCCAAACCCTAAACCCTAAACCCTATACCCTAAACCCTGATGACGTGGCTGGACTCTGTCTGAGTTCAGGTCCCGTACTGAGTGATGCCCGCGAGAGCTGAACTTGAAGCTTCTGGTTCTCCAACTGGCATGCTAGCAATTGGCGGGTTCTCTTAGAGTATATTATATTATACTCTCTTATAGTATAGTATAGTTCTCTTATAGTATATTATATTATGTTATACTATACTCTCTTATAATTATACTTATAAAATAGTATATTATAATATAGTCTACTATATTCTCGTCGGAAAGCTTTCTTCAGGGCACATACCGAAGTCAACCCACCTCCAGAGACTCAGCATCATGCCAAAGTCGGGACACCTTCAGCAGCATTTGCGTAGTTCCCAAAATCAGGGTCCCGTTTTGGTACCCCTAAATCTTAGGTGGTGTAACACAATTTATACTCAACAGGGTCGAGAATTTTGAGAACAACCCATTTGCTAGCTTTCAAAACGGCATGAGCACAAAAGGTACACTTCAAATAAACCACCTCCGAGCGCCCTCAACACAAAGAAAAACTCATTTTTGCAAATTAAATATAAAACCCGTAAATACCTACATAATTCCTATATAACCCCTACACAATTCCTATATCATCCCGGCATCATCAGAAGCTTCCTTTCACGCCCTGGCAAATCCCAACACGACACGGTGCATGATGCCGCTCATAGACGTTCATGGGTGCCTCTATACTATGCCCCTTATACTACTTAGGTTTTAGGGTTCCACCCTACTACCCGCTCGGGTTCCCCTTTCATTAGCTTCTTTTGCCCTAGTTATCCCTTAAACTAAAAATTCTGTGCCTATAAAGGTGTAGTGTGGGTGTAGGGGGACCCACGATGCTTCTGGGGTTCTATTGGGGGTATGTCAACAATGGAGAATCAAATGGAAAAGAACATGGAAAATGAAATGGAAACTAGGGAACATATTGGGGTTATGGCCAGTTGCAATGCACAAGATCATAACATGTCTTGCGCGGGCCCCCCAAAATGACCGCAATCTTGTTCCCCAACAACTGATCTGGGGACTTTCGCAAAGTAGACTACCATTTCTTGGGTCCTAACACTAAGGATCATAATGTTTTGAAGCTCTATTTTGGGACCCCCCCCCCCCGTTTGTGGAAACTTGCATATACTGTAACCTATGAACTCCCAGTTTCCATCTGCGCATCTTGACTTGCAAGCTCAGCTTAGGCCCTGGCTTCCTTTCTCCTTTGGATCAGCTCCACCTGGGTTTAGGGCTTAGGGTTTCGGGTTTGGGGTTTCGGGTTTGGGGTTTAGGGCGTAGGGTTTGGGGTTTAGGGCTTAGGGTTTGGGGTTTAAGGTTTGGGGTTTAGGGTTTGGCGTTTCTTGAGAGGAGGTATAGAGCTTTATAAGGATCATGTAGTATAGGGGAAGGGAAAAGAGATGTAAACTTTTATCTTATTAGGCTTGTATAAGCATATATATCTATATATATATATAGAGCGATTATTGCCCCAATAATGGAGAATCAAACGGAAAAGAAAATGGAATGTGACATGGCTTAGTCTGTATTGAAGTTTATAGGGGACTGCCCCCATCCAGTAACTTTCTATAAGGGGCGGGGGGAAGTTACCAGCTTCATCATATTCATATCATAACCCTGGTCCATCTATTAATTGCTGGGAGGTGGCAATATCATAAGCATTTCATAAACTGGTCCTGCCTGTGACATTGCTGATAAGATTGAGAACCTGATTCCAGGGCATGCGAAGAAACTTAAAACACAAAAAGGGACCCTAGGGTTTAGGGCTTTAGGGTTTAGGGTTTAGGGTAAACTTAAAACACAAAAAGGGACCCTACCTTCACCGACAGGTTGGAGCTGGGTAGCAACCTCGAATCTTGGAGAGGCTTCCCGCGCCATCAACTACACCAACTCTGCACAGAAACTGCGTCTACAGCCAACCACTACTTATCGGAGCCCGACCCCAAGACTCATCACTAGTAGTTTGGGGTCTATCTTGGAATCCTGCTTTTTATGGAAACTACACGTACTGCAACCTATAGCTCCCCAGTTTCGAGATGGTCTTTTCCATTGGGTTCTCCATGCTTGGGTAACCGTTAGCCTGAACCTCCAGAGGGCAAGCGTTACACACCCCTTAAACTTCCTACATGGATCCTATATGATCCGGGATAATTCCTACTTCCTAGATTGTCCCTGCCCTAAACGCTAAACCCTAAATCCTAAATAGTAGTTTCCATTTTATCTTCCATTATCCCAATATAACCCCAAGATAATCCCTGTAAACCCAATATACCCCAATATGACTCTAACCTCATAAGCTGAGCTCTTCTGAGCTCTTTGCCTGCTTTGCCTGGATCATGTCTTTCAGTGTAGTGACCGACTCGGTAGCCTGTGGAGGGTTTAGGGTTTAGGGTAGCCTGTGGAGGTCCCAGACTCTCAGAAAAGCTCATGTGGGGATAGGGATGATATAGGAAGTATGGGGATTTGGGTTTAGGGATTTGGGGGTTTCGTGATTTAGGGTTTAGGGGTTTGGGGTTTAGGGATTTGGGGTTTAGGGATCTAAGGTTTAGGGTAGGAATTATATCGGGATTGTGGAGGGAAATTTGAGACATTCTATTTACGGCTCTGCAGACTCTAAAACTAAGCATAGATTTCTTCAGGATGGGAAGGTTACGCGGATCCTCATTCGGAATGCTATGAGTTCTAGTCTGAACTCCTAGTATCCCCTTAAAAAGCCCTATAAAAAGTA